AATTTCTGAACATATTTAACTACTACCCCATTTTTTCTTACCAGGTGGTTTTGATCTTTCTTTTCAATATTTCTTCATTTGGAATTATCTTTCTGGCTTTGGGTGGCTACTATAAATTGTTGGTTGCTTTCAAATTTCTTAACACATTTAACTACCATCCATTTTTTCTTATTAGGTAGATTTTGATCTTTTTTTTTGAAATTTCTTTATTTAGAATTATCTTTCTGGTTTTGGATAGCTACTATAAATTGTTGGTTACTTTCAAATTTCTTAACACATTTAACTACTACCCATTTTATCTTACCAGGTAGATTTCGATCTTTTTCTTTGATATTTCTTTGTTTGGAATTATTTTTCTGGCTTTAGATAGCTACTATAAATTGTTGGTTGCTTTCAAATTTCTGAACATATTTAACTATCACCTATTCTTTTTTACTAGATAGGTTTTGATCTTTCTCTTCAATATTTCTTCGTTTGAAATTATCTTTCCAGCTTTAGATAACTACTATAAATTGTTAGTTACTTTTGAATTTCTAAACATGTTTAACTACTACCCATTCTTTTTTACCAGGTGGGTTTTGATCTTTCTCTTTGACGTTTCTTCGTTTAGAATTATCTTTCCGGCTTTAGGTGGTTATTATAAATTGTTAGTTGCCTTCAAATTTCTTAACACATTTAACTACCATCTATTCTTTCTTACTGGGTAGGTTTTAATCTTTCTCTTTGACATTTTTTCATTTAGAATTATTTTTCTGGCTTTGGATGGCTACTATAAATTGTTGGTTGCTTTTGAATTTCTTAACATATTTAACTACTACTCATTCTTTCTTACCAAGCAGGTTTTGATCTTTTTCTTCAATATTTCTTTATTTGAAATTATTTTTCTAGCTTTGGGTAGCTACTATAAATTGTTGGTTGCTTTCAAATTTCTTAACATGTTTAACTACTACCTATTCTTTCTTATTAGGTAGATTTTGATCTTTCTTATTTCTTTGTTTGGAATTATTTTTCTGGCTTTGGATAACTACTATAAATTGTTGATTGCTTTCAAATTTCTTAATATATTTAACTACCACTCATTCTTTCTTACTAGGTAGGTTTCAATCTTTCTCTTTGATATTTCTTCATTTGAAATTATTTTTCTGGCTTTGGGTAGCTACTATAAATTGTTAGTTGTTTTCAAATTTCTTAACACGTTTAACTACCACCTATTCTTTCTTACCAGATGGGTTTCAATCTTTTTCTTTGATATTTTTTCATTTAGAATTATTTTTTTGGCTTTGGGTGGCTACTATAAATTGTTAGTTGCTTTTGAATTTTTGAACATGTTTAACTACTACTCATAAATCTAATTAACTTTGTTATATTAGTGTGTTGTTAGTGGCTCTGTAAGTGGTTCTGTCTATTGTTGCTGTTTGCTTCTTGTTGCTAGTGGTGAATTTGGTAGTTTTATAATTTCATCATTATTCTGTATTGGTATAGTTTTGTAATTTTGTTGGTGTATTGTGGTTTTGGTCATTTGTTGCTGTTTATAGGTTGCTGATTAGATAATAAATCTAATACAATATTAAAATATTTTGATGTGTAATGATTTTGAATTTGTAAGAATTTTTATTAATAAAGTTTATAGTAGTTTATAATATAAATAATTTGGAGTATACTATAATTAGAAGATGTAATTCTAAATTATATAAAAATTTTGTAAATATCACATAAATATTTATAAAATTATTACCAATATAGGCTAGCTGATATTTTTGTAAAAATTTCATATATAGATTGCAAAAATTTGCTAATATATACCAAGCCGATAGGTTACAAATACGTGCTAAATAGTGGTGAGCTATTGGATAGTACCTATCAGACAAATATTATAAAATATATATAACCTTTATTAGATCTATCTGCTAGCTGATAGGCTATTAAAATTTCATTATTGGATCTATGATAGTTATATAGTTAAGATTTTAAGCTTATACTATTTCAGTAAAAGTCAGTTTACTACTTGTTTTTAGAATAAATCTTCTGATTTAAATATCAAATATCTTGAGGGGCTACTGAAAAAAAAAGATTAATTCTAAAAAAATCACTTAAGTTATATTTGCTTTTTAATGTTTTATATTTTACAAATTTTATTAATAATCTACTTAAAAGTAAAACTAAAAATAGTATTTATTTTAGTTATTTCTATAGTATTTTTGTTGTTGATTAAGAGATTATTAGAAAAAGTTTGTATATTTTTGTTATAATAATAGATTTTTTTTTTTTTTTTTTTTTTTTTCTTTTTCTCTCTTGGGTGCTTGCTTTTTTTTTTAGGTGTTTGTTGCGCGAGG